CCGCCCCCAGAGCCCCGCCCCACCAGAAGAGCCCACGGCTGTCGGCTGTAGGGCTTAACCCTGGTTTTCTAAGTCGGTGGCCTCGGGCCTGGCCGCTTTCTCTGACCCTGGAGCTTTTACTTTGGCTAACAAAGCCCCCGCTCCACCCCCGCCTCTCAGAAACCAGTTTCTCCATCAGGACCCAAACGCTGCCTCCTGCAGGAAGCCTTCCCTGACTCCTTCCGCATCACAAGACTCATACACGCCTGTAGTTTCGAGCCAGCACTCCAGGGGCCGGCGAGCCTGGGACGGGGGGCCCTCCGGGGCTGCTTATTGGTCCACCTCTCACTATTTCTCAGAAGCTGACGTCTTTCTTGTTACACAGTGGCTCGTTTTATAAACGTCAGCCACCAACCTTCCCGGAAGGAGAGGGCCTGGGGTGGGAGTGGGTGGAAGAGACCCCTGTGCCGGGAGGCTCGGTGCCGGGCACAGCCTTGCTTTCTGGCCGTCTCGGCAGCTCGGTACAGGATGGCGGAGGGGGTGGAGCTTGGTCTTTCTCCCAGGGCCCTGAGGAGCCATGGCAGGGTAGGGCTTGGGGGAGTCTGGGGCCAGCTTGGAGGGCCCTGGAGGGACAAGGCTGGAGGTCAGGAGCCCAGGCCGGAGCCGCGCCAGGGCCCTGGGAGGCAGCGGGGGTGACAGGCCCGTGCCGGAGAGCGAGGGGGGAGGAAGGCGACTCCTGGGGTGAACTGAGGCCGGATCCTGGCCGGGGCCCTCCCTGGAGCCCCTCCCAGCGGGCGGGGCGTGGGGGGGACCCCCGACAGCCCTTTCCCTGTGTCCCGCAGGAGAGCGACGAGGACAAGAGTGACTACAACCTGGTGGTGGACGAGGTGCGTCCGGCCTCACCCCGCTCCGCTCGGGGCACAGCACAAGTGGGGGTTCTGGACCGAGGGGCCCAGAGGGTGGAGTGGCGGGAAGGGGGCCTCGCACAAGGACACCAGGACTTGCGAGCGAATTATAGCGCCGGGAACACGGGGAACGGCCGCTGTGGTGGCTTTGAGCGTGGCCCGCACGTGGGGTGACACCCCTTCCCAGGCCTCGCCTTCCCCATCTGTCTGGGGGCGCCCAGCCCAGGCCCTGTCACAGGCCGGGCTGTGTGTGCAGGAGACCTCCGGCCCCTTCCCCAGCTGGGTAAACCGGCCCTCCCGCGGCAGGGCGTAGGCGGCAGCGCAGAGGTCCGGGTGGGAGTCGGGAGTATAGGACGGTTCTCTCCGCCCACTTCTCCCCGTGTGCCGTCACGTCCGGGGACGCAGGACCAACCCTCAGCGCCCCCCAGCCCGGCCATCACCCCCTGTGGAAAGGCAGCAGCCTGTGTCCCCACCCGCCGAGAGCTCGTGGACAGTCCAGCCTCCTTGGCCTCCAGCCTCGGCTCTCCACTCCCCAGAGCCAAGGAGCTTGTCCTGGTAAGGAGCACGGAGGGCCTTGAAACTCACTTTATTCACACAGGGGGGCCTGAAAACAGATGCACCACGTTAGAAATGTGTAGGGCAGGTGGAGTCTATGCCCTTCTGAGTCTTTTTCAAAGATGTTTTCTTCTTGGGGCCAGCAGGTGACATAGTGGTTAAGGTGCTGGACTCCCACATGGCCAACCACAGTTCAAGTCTCGGTCCCAGCGGCTCGATATACACCAGACACGTGCACACGTGTGTCCAAAATCCCGAGAGGAGAGTGAAGAAGGGACTGCGGCGTGGCCACTCCCCTGGGGGTGATTTCTCACTTTCCCTCTCTGTCTCTCTAGCAAGCGCACGTGCCCTATAGCAAAACATCTAAAAATAATAATAAATTGTCTTCTCTATTCGGGACAGAGCGTGTGCGGGTGCACGTGAAAGACAGCGAGGGAGGGAAGACCCCACGGGGTCTGATCACACGTGACCCCCGTGTAGCCCCTCAGATCCTGGACACGTGTGTTCAGGCTGACTGGGCTGGGGATTCGAACCGTGGCCGCCATGTGGGACCGGGCTTCTGGGCAGTGCTTCGCAGCTGGCCCCCGAGTGTTCCTCCCTGGCCTCGCTTGGTTGAGCCTCAGGAAACAGCAAAGAAGATCGGAAAATGAGCCCTTGCGTAGACACGGAAAGGTCGGGGACGGCTCTCGCAGTGACGAGAAATCCCGTGGAGTAAGCTTGGCGAAGCCTGGCAGCAGCACCAGGGTCCTCACTGGACGCCAGGCTGCAGGCGGGAGGGTCTGCGAGGGCCCAGGGGTCTTGCCAGCCCAAGCTGAGATGCAGCCCGGCTGGGGAATGGATTAGAGGGGCCGCGTGCCCACCACCGCCAGGGTCCGGGCCAGGGGCAGGGACCCCCAGAAGCGCCCTAGGCATTCTCTGCAGAGCCCCCGTTGTGACCCCCCCCCAGGTCTCCCCTAGACCCTGCCCTGCACTAACCCAGGGAGATGTTAGTTTCCAGGCCTCCCACCCACAGGTTGCCATGGCAACCTCCAGCAGTTGGGGCTCCGTTCTTTGGTAAGTGCCCTCCTCCCCTGCAGGGGACCTTGGGGGCGGGGCGCTCCCATCTGCCAGAGAGCCCCCCCACCGAAGGCCGTCCCATCCACCGCTCTCGGGCGGGACTGTCACTGTCACGGCTTGTGTGACCCCGTGATGCTCCCGTGCTGCCAGCCACCCAGGACAAGGACGCAAAGTTGCTTGCAGCCGGAGGAGCTGAGGTGACAGAGCTGATTCTAAATAGAGGCTTCCCCGGGGGAGGGACAGCTGTAGGACCCCTCCGGCTGTGCGTGACACCCCCTGCATGGGGAGCCGGGAGGACCCCTGCCGCCACAGTGGAGGCTCCCACGTGGGGGAATCGGTAGCTGAGTTTCCAGCCGGGCTGCATTTTAAAAATTATTTTATTTTATTTTATTTATTATTATTCAGTTTGACCAGAGAGAGAGTAAGTGAAAGCAAGCCACCAGGTCCAGGACTCAAACCATGGTCAGCCATGTGGGAGTCCAGCAACTTAACCACCATACCACCTGCCAGCCCCCAGCCTGGAGGGTTTTTTTTCTTTTTGAGAGAGATATTTGCTATAGGGCACGTGCGCTCGCCAGACAGAGAGAGACAGAGAGAAAGAGAGAAATCACCCCTCAGGGGGGATGGTCAACTCCCGTCTCCTCCATTCTCCTCTCGGGATCTTGGGCACGCACACGCGTCTGGCATGAGTTTAAGCCACCGGTCTGGGACTCAAACCGCAGTCGACTACGTGGGAGTCCAGCGACACAGCCATTACGCCAACTGCTGGTCCCTCCTGCCGTTTTTTATCATTTTGCCGGGGTGCACATGCGCTGACCGGATGGCGACAGGGGGGAGGCCCCGTGGGCGTGGTCCTGTGGGGAGTTTGGGCACACATGCACGTGCACCTGGTGTGTTTTCCAAGCTGCAGGGACCAGGATTTGAGCCGTAGTCGACCAGGTGGGAGCCAGCTCCCCATGACTGGTTCACGACTTCCTTTACGGCCAGAGGGCACACGGGCACACACAGACTGTGGCAGGGCCTGGTCACGCCAACGCCCCTTCCTGCCCGCTTCCCCTTTCCGGCCCTGTGTGCCAAGGCCCCATCCCCTGAGCAGCCACGCGGGCCCCAGCTTCCTGTCGGCAACTCTAGCCCCCGGATGGGGCATCGGCAGCCCTGGGGACCCTGTGCCCTGTGTGTCGTTGCTGCCATGACACAGGCATGCTGGTCACTTGGGTGCACGTGTGTGGGCACGCCTGTCCCCACGGCCACGTGCCTGGTGCTGTGGGCCGTCCCTGGTGCGTGTGCCCATTGCGATGGGAGGGGAGGTGCCAGGAAGGCTGCGGATTGGGGGACAGGGCAGACAGCTGACGCGGCGCACCGGGGCCCTGGCTCGGCCAGTGCGTTTAGGTGTGACGGAGCCACGTCCCTGAGCAGTGGGCAGCTGTGTCCAGCTGGGACCCGGGCCTGCAGGTGCCAGCCCACCACGCTCAGCCTGGCCCTTTCCTGCAGAATGACCTTCCGGCCAGCACGCCCGCTTCGAAGTCCTGTGACTCCTCCCCGCCCCAGGACGCGTCCACCCCGGGGCCCAGCTCTGCTGGCCACCTCTGTCAGCTCACGGCCAAGCCGGCGCCCTGCACAGACAGTGTCGGTGAGTGCCCTGGTGCCTGTGGAGGGCTCCCCTTGGCGTAGAGGGACTGGTGCGGGCAGAGGCGGGAGGTTGGGGTTCCAGCCTTGTCCCCGACTCTGAGCTAGCAGCGGCCTCACTTCGGGCCTCAGTTTCCTTGTACTGGCTTGACGTGGGGAGACTGAGGCCCATGGCATGGAGGGACCTTCCTCTGCAGCTTCAGTGTGGTGTGCTGGGGGAACAGGCTTTGGCGTCAGACGCACTTGGGTGCAGGTCAGGTTTGGGCACCCGAGCCGTGTGACCTGAGACCAGGGCCCGGCCTCCTGAGCCTCCGTTCCCCATCAGTAACCTGGGGGTGGACTGTGACTTTCTGTGTGGCCAGCCCCTGGCTGGTTCAGCTTGGAAACCCACCCTCAAGGTGGCGGGGAAGGAGACCCAGACCCCAAACTCCCTCTCAATGATCAGAAGGGGTGGGAGGAGGGCCCTAGGATGGGCAAGGCTGCAGGGGGGGGTGATGGGGCTCATGGAGGTCCCTGAGATGGTGAGGGACACTAGGTCTGGGTTTTGAGGGATGAGTAGGAGCTCACCAGTTGCAGGAAAAAGGAAGGCATGCCAGCCGGGCAGTCTCTGTGGAGGCCCGGCGGTGTCCTGGGGTGTGGCCACTCCTGGGCCGAAGCTCGGGAACAGTGACCGTCCGCCCGAGGGGCCCCGAGGCAGCGTGGAGCAGCCCTCGCGCCAGGGTTTCTAAGACTTGTCCCCACCCCTTCTTGCCCAGCCCTGAGGAGTCCCCTGAGTCTGACTGGCCCCTTCACCACGTCCTTCAGCCTGAGCTCCCATGGCGGCCTCAACGGGGACCTCTCTGTGCCCAGCCCCTACGTCAGTCTCCACCTGCCCCCCCAGGTCAGCACCTCCGTGGTGTACGGCCGCTCGCCCCCGGTGAGTGCTCCCGCAGGGCCGGGATGCGGGGAGGGACGGGAGCCCTGGCTCAGCTCGGGAGAGCGGACGGGGACCCGAGGGCCTCAGTGTCCCACAGGCTTCGTGGGGATCACTGACCGGTGAGCAGGGAGAGGGGCCAGCGCTGGCTGCGGGGTCTCCCCCGGAGAAGTGAGGGGGGCCAGCGCTGGCTGTGGGGTCTCCCACGGGGTCTCCCCCAGAGCGGCGTGTGCAGCCCTGTTGTAGACCAAGTCTGAGCCTCGTCCCATGCATCCGGGGTTCTACGGTTCCCTGGACAGAGGCTTTGGGGCCCCCTCAGGAGAGCTGGGATCTGGGAGAGGAGAGAGCCGCTCTGGGGAGCTAGAGATGAGGCCCCTGAGAAACGGGACAGGCAGAAAGTCTTGGGGGGGCCAGGTGTCACCACCCCGGTGTCTCGGCAGATGGCATTCGAGTCTCACCCGCATCTCCGAGGGTCCTCCATCTCCTCCCTGCCCAGCATCCCTGGTGGGAAGCCGTGAGTATCGGGGGGCTCTCTGTGGGGGGAGCCTGGGCCCACCCCCTGTAATGACGACTTCCAGGGTTGCTCCTAGCAGGTCCAGCTTCGAGTCCCTAGAGCTGTCTTGTCTTTTTTTTTTTTGAGAGGTTTTTGCTGTAGGGCGCGTGCGCTCGCCAGGAGGACAGAGACAGAGAGACAGAAAGTGAGAAATCACCCCCCAGGGGCATGGCCACACCGCAGTGCGCTCGCCAGGAGGACAGAGACAGAGAGACAGAAAGTGAGAAATCACCCCCCAGGGGCATGACCACGCCGCAGTCCCTTCTCCTCCATTCTCCTCTCGTGATCTTGGGGACGCACGCACATGCGCCTGGCATGAGTTTAAGCCACCGGGTCCAGGACTCTAACCCGGGACAACTACATGGGAGTCCAGGGACGTAGCCATTACGCCACCTGCTGGTCCTGTGTCCCTAGCGCTTTCTGCAGTGCTGGGAGTGTCCCAGGCCTGCTGCTGTCCCATCTGGTTGCTACCAGCCACGTGCGGCTTCTGAGCCCTAGAGGGAGGCCAGATGCAGGTCACTTAGGATCATTGTGGGTGACAGTGGGCCGCCGGTCCAGCAGCTCTGGACCCTCGGGGCACTCACGGGGCCACTGTTCACGAAACTTCCGACCACACCTCTGCCAGGCCTGCAGTCAGGCCGCCCTGCCCGCCCGGAAGGCCCTGGACACGGGCAGCTCCCACCCGGGCGTGGGGTCGGGGTGCAGCGGGGCGCGGGCGGCCTGGTCACGGCCCTCTCCGTGCAGGGCCTACTCCTTCCACGTGTCTGCCGACGGCCAGATGCAGCCCGTGCCCTTCCCGTCGGACGCGCTGGTGGGCGCCGGCATCCCGCGGCACGCCCGGCAGCTGCACACGCTGGCGCACGGCGAGGTGGTCTGCGCCGTCACCATCAGCGGCTCCACGCAGCACGTGTACA